AAAAATGTTTGCTGATAATCTCAACAAAAGAATGGGTTATGAAACAGTTTTTTTCGAAATGCATCTGGATGAATCTCAATTGGATGCGACGACGGATAAGAAACGACCCTATGCCTATATTGCCAGGAAAAGCGCCATTCCGGATGAAGATGAAGTTCTGTTCTTCATGGGATTCGTCTGGCGTATTACATCGGTAGATCAAAAATCCGATAACGAGTGGAAAGTTGTTCTTCAACTCTCTGCCAATGACGACTTGAAAGTGATCGAGAAGTCCAATGAATGTACATACTTCACCTTGGGCAGGATCTTACACGAGCTCCGTGAATACAAAAATGCCATTTATTTTTACAACCGCATGCTGGAATCAGTATCGACTCTTTCACCTGAAGAATCTCTAAACATCCATTGTCATTATGCCCAATCAGCGTATATGAATGATGCGTACGACGATGCGCTTAAGCATCTCGAGAAAGCAGAAAAGCTGTGCAACGAAGTGGAAACATCGAACAAAATAACATCAGATTGTTTTTCGAATGTTTCTGCAGAGAATGATGAACCTTCAGCAATGTCCATTGCCACCAACAAAGCACAAATTTATCAAAAGATGGATGAAATTCCCATTGCTAAAAAAGTATTTGCAGAAGCTCGACTGAAGACTGGTTCTACCAGCGATAAAGCTAACTTGTGCTTTTCCGAGGGTCAACTAGATTTAGAGTGTGGGCGCTATACTGATGCATACGAGAGTTATCGTCAAGCAAGCATTTTCGCCGAAGAAGCTGGAGATCAAACACTACAGGCACAAATCCAGCAAAGATTAAAGACAGTCAATCAAACTGTAGCTTGATAATGGGTTGATAGAGAAAAATTACAAACAAACAATCGCTAGTTTTGTTTCATTTGCACTTTTTAAACTTAAGATTAGTTCCTTTTGGTTCAAAGATTATTAAAAAATGAAAAGAAATGAGAAAAGATAGAATAGAGCAAATGTCCCTAATATCGACAGCAAAAATTTGCCCAATCTTGCTTGAGTTCGTGCACAACTATTTTATATGTGAGGTAAAATATCTTTATATATGCACAAACCCCTAGTTTCTGCTCTTTCAAATGGTAAATAAACAACCTTTCTTCTTCAATGTTTTCACGGAGAAATTAACAGTCTGCGATGATGAACTCCATCGGTCGATATTAGGGGCACTTTCCCTAATTTCCACAGCAAGCCGTTTTTAGTCTCTAATTTCGAAACATACACAAAATTCAAGCAAAATACAATCATTTGAGAATAAACCAGTTTATTATGTCTTTTGATCAGAAAAACGACCAAAGGTCACTATCGCAATTTTGTAGAACATGTCACGATCTATCATGTTGTGAAGGTTCATGACAAATGTATTTGTTAACAATGAGTACAATAAATGAAAAGGAAGACGTTCAGATTTGATAACAAAAAAAGGGTATGGGTGTGGGTGGCTGTGGGTGTGGGTGTAGGTGTAGGTGTGAGTGTAGGTGTGGGTGTAGGTGTAGGTGTGAGTGTAGGTGTGGGTGTGTGTGCGGGTGTGAGTGCCTTCTCTCACGTTCACATCCACAATTATACCCATACCCACCCACACCCACACCCACACGAACACCCACACCCACACACCCACACCCACACCCCACACCCCACACCCATACCCACACCCACCCCTAAATAAAATCTACATATAGTCTCTAATACAATCCAATTGAACATATATTTATTTCAATTGTACAACTAATAAATGAATTATTATCATCGATTAATATATAATAAGATTTTCATGTATCGAAATGGTTTCTACAGTACAGATATCAGAAAAATATTTTAAAAAAAAGTCACACTTAGTTAGTAATATGAAAAATGAAAATAAATTTATTTATTTATTTGTAAATATTGAATAAATGATCGGTTACGTTCGTTTAGTTTTATGAGATCTTACATCTTCTTTAGGCATTGATATAGGTGGAACGAATGATTGTGAAGGAACTTTTTCAGGTACGCTAGATTCTTTCTGTTTTTGTTGATATTTCTTATTTCGTCTATGATCTTTAGACTTCCAACGATTATCTCGAAAAATATTTGTTTTTGATAGTATCCTTGTTTGAGAGGATGGATTTATCACTGTTCGTTTCTTTTTGGTAATAAGAACATTGATTTTTTTCCATTCATCTTGTAATAATTGTTTAATCTTATCGAGATTATTTTCATGATTATGATTATCTTTTTTCATATCAATCAATATCCAAAGACCATCTTTATGACTTTCTTTATTTTTTGTTTTAATTTTATCGACCATTTGCTGAAGATTTTTGCTGGATTTATTATTAATAATATTTATACGAACATTTAATGTACGTTCAGGAAGACGAAGATGCAAACCACCACGTCCAACAAAGCGACTAATTTGGTACATACGTTGAATTGGATTCAGCATCGAAGAAAACTCAAGTATAACATAATCGCTACATTTTAGACAAGCAGATGTCGATGGTAATTGTTCTTCTGTTGATTTAAGGGTGTGGGTGTGGGTAAATAGATCAGCACACCCACACCCACACCCACACCCTTATTATAATACCTTTTAGAAAATATCGTGAAAACTCTTGTTCAATGTATTTCTTCTGGGCATCTATTATAAATAATCTTTATCTTTTATTTGCTAAATTGAGGTGTTAGTGTGGATGTCAATAGCAATATTTTCTTTATTTGCATCCACACCCACACAACCCAGAGAAATTGCTATAACAACTTATATGGATATGGTAAATAGTATTGATCGTGTTCGAATAGGAAATTTTATTGTAGCTATTGCAAGACTTATGTTTTTCATAAATATTGCCATATCAAAAACATTTCATGAAGATTTTAAAAAGCTGTTTAAGTTATTCTATAATCGAGTCATTCGATGAAACGAAACATTGGTAAATGAAAGTATTATATGAACATAATTATTATTTTTTCCAATGGTCATAAAACGACAGACTTGGGTGTCAGTGTGGGTGTTGTTGTAGTTGAACAGAACATCCACTCGACACTAATTCACATCCAAGAAAGTTAATTGCAATTAACAAGACTAAAAGCAGAAAGAGAATAAATACTGAAACACTAAAAGCGTTGTGACAGAATCCCGATTATTCTCTGTTTTTCTTTTACTTTGTCAGGACTACATATGTGATTATATATCATGTTTTCATAGACGTGATTAAATCACAAAAGTATTATTATTTGAGTTGGAAACAATATGATACTTGGTTGGTCATGATTTGTAACTATTTCTCCGACCAACATTCGAAGATATTTATCATGTTTAGTAAATTTTTATTCAAACAAGATTGTCATGAAGAAACTTGTGATATCTGATTTCTTTTGACGTCAATGAATGCTTCCTACGTCATGAGATATGAAGGCAAACGAATAGTGCAGAGTTAAGCTTTTTCTTATGTTTCTAATAGTTTTGTCTGATATTATTTTTCATACTGATATTTCTGCTAATATTGCTCATCCACAATGGGTTAAAAAGATGGAGGGCTCTGGATGAATTCTTTGTCAGTAGATCCAATCATTGTATACGGAAAATGAAAGAATTCATTCAGATATCTCTTTGAAAATTCTACTGTCTATAGCTCAAAATTGAGTGAAACCTTTGAGAAATGCAAGAAGTATACTATTTAGTCGTTGATGTGTTGGTATGACAAAAAAAAAATTTATTAAATATTTTCAGAACGGAAAACAATAAATAATATTAGAAATTCTCTTGGAACGAGGAAATTTATCGATTTCCAGTAGGTAACGAAGTCCCACAGAAGAGAGGAAATGTTTTTAGATAATGTTGGGACAGGTGAGCCCCCGTTTCCATCTCACAAAGTCGTCGTACAAAAGTTTTTAAGCTTATAATTGTCTTGCACATTGCTTGTAGAAACTTGTCGAGACTTACAGCTGATAAGGATTAGAATAAATTCAAATTAGTTTTATTTCAACAAGTATTTGAACTAATAGCAGCCAAATTCTATGCAACCAGTTTATTTTGAGACGTTTGTTGAAAGATTTTTCGAAGCATCTTTGAATAGAACATCTATATTATTCGTCGCAATCTAGAGTTTTTGATTAATGTGCTCAAATATTTGAAACATATTGGTTAAAAGTGGAGACCCAGTCATTAAAAGTACAGCTGAAAATCTCTTTTTCCTTTTCTATCACATTAACTATAAATTGTGCGAAACAGCCTATGAGCTTTAAGTAATTTTCAATAAAATATATTCTGAAAACATTTGTTAACAAAATGAATATCCGTAGATTACCTGCTAGTATTCATATGTTGAGAGTACATGGCAGCAAGATTCAACCATTTATTCATGAACTTTCTGTCAATCGTAAAAGACTTTCATTGAGTGCTTCAAAATAAATCGATTGCGTTAAGTTAGTCATGCTTCATGACTTAAAAAAAACATACTGTACTAGTGAGTCGATTGTATGTTATTTGAAACGTTCTTCCTTCATATGTGGGACGCTTTTCCGAAAGTGAAAAGAGGTCAGAAAAAAATTGGCTCCTGAGATCAGATCTTCGTACGACGGGACAAGACGAGTTTTTGTTTGTTTTGTATAGATCTGATAGATAGTGTACTTGTGGCTAACTAGACTTCTTCGTACTTCTTAAAGAAGGATGCAAGATTAATAATCTTGTGAAAAAGATCGTGGCCGACTTTAACAACTTCTACTACTCCATGTACAAAAAAAAGATGCAGCATATGCTCTTTTTTTACAATACTTATTCGTAATTTTCAAAACATTCAAGTCATCTGGTGAGATATTTAGCAAGATCAAAATAATTACCATCGGAACTAATACCTCTTGCTCTATTCTCATGATATCAGTTTTTCTCGACGTCTCTCACTTTGACTAATGATCATGTTAACTGACATCTATATGTCACACAAATAAAGAAAACAAATGAGAATGACTTTATCACGTTCTATTGATCTACCAATTGGTGAATGGATCATACTAATCAAATAGCGCTGAGCATGATTTTCATGGAACTCAAATCGAGCTATCTGGTCTTTCAAGAAGCAAAATATCTTTTGTTTAACTTGAAATGTTCATAATACAGTGTTGATGAATATGCGATTTGCTGTGAGTAAGAGTTGATAAAAAACAGAACCAAACCCGTATCCACCTACAGTCGCATCCACGGGCTCACTCCACACTCACATCCGCATACTGAAAAACATCGATTGCGTGGACTGTTGAGAAAGATAAATACAAAGAAATTTAATATGCATGCTGTATGCCATCAACAATCCTTATAGACATGATCAAAGATCATAATGTCATCGAATTACAATTTTAATAAAAAGACAACTATTTATTTTGTGCTCTCTCTCTCTCTCTCTCCCTTGTCTTTTGGTAGTAAAATATGTTCTGTACACATCAAATAATAAAAAAGATAGTTGACAGCTTCGTCGTACTTACTGACTAGAATAGTATTCGTGCAACAGTCACTAAACAAGATGACCACTCAAGAGCAAGCAACACAAACAAATCAACACCGTCGCCAATATCGAAGATGCCAGTGTTTAGCGGCAAACGACGTACTTCAATTGATTTCCTCACTAATTATTCCACTTGTTTTGGGTACTTTCACTATTGTCATCACTTTTCATCAACAAAAAATGATCCGAGAACAACGACTTGAAGATCTCAATGGATCCAGATATCAACGGCTCGAAGATCTCAATGAATTGAGAGAACAGCGCCAAGTAGAAGAGAAGACGGCAAATCGATCGAATGAATTTCAGCGTCAACTAACAACTGAGCGGTATCGAGACGAGTTACTTGTTGCTTATATTAATGATATGGCTACATTATTGGAAAAGAGCAATGGTTCACTCACAGCTGATGAAGTTACGGCTACTGTTGCTCGAGCTAAAACTCTGACTATCCTTCGTCAACTAGATACACAGCGTAACATTCAAATTGTTCGATTTCTCTACGAAGCCAAACAACTTAGTGGAATACACAAAAATTCTTCACTGGATCTATCAACAGCAGAACTTCGTGATATAGATTTTCGTTATACAGCAATCAGTAAAAAGAAATTAAACAACTTATCATTGACTGGTATCTTTCTATCAAATGCAACATTTGTAGGCATTGATATGGAGCACGTCAAATTCGCTAATACTGAGTTTAACACTGTTAACTTTTCATCTGGAACACTTCGCAATGTCAATTTTTCATCCTCAAACTTCGACAATGCTAACTTTTCATCCACTCAACTCGATACTATTAACTTTTCATTCAGCTCTCTCTTCAATGCTAATTTTTCATTCGTTTCAATCTTTAATGCCTGCTTGTCATCGACTCGACTCGAGCATGTGAATTTTTCATCCGCTCTGCTCTTCAATGCCGATTTTTCATATGCACGACTCGAAAATATCGATTTTTCATTCACCTTACATAACAATGTTGATTTTTCATTCGCTTCGCTTTTCAATATCAATTTTTCATACGCGCGGCTGGTCAATGCCAAGTTTGAGCGCGCTATAATTCAGAATGTCGACTTTTCATCTGCTGAACTTAGCTATGCTGACTTTTCAGATGCTCAATTGATTAATGTCAACTTTTCATCCGCTATTTTAGGTAATGTTTATAATAGTTTTGCTTTTTTTCATGAAATTTATTTTTCAATTGCCCTTTAGCTTCAGCCATATTCTCTCGTGCCAAAGCATCTTATACGAATTTTCAACAAACGACTTGTGTTGTAGCTCGTTTCGTTGATGCTACTTTATCTTATTCTAACTTTTGGCACTCAAATGTTAAGCGTGCTTCGTTCGAAAACGCTGACTTGATCAACGTTAGTTTCCTCCATGCCAATCTATACAACGCTGATTTTAGGAACGCCAAAATTAAAGACAGTGAACTAAAAAGTGCTCTCTTGATTCAAGATGCTTTACTACCCAACAATACACTTGCCAGTGATACGAACATGATTAACAATGGTCAAGCTTTTTGCAACACTTCTCTTGTTAACAGTTGGATATTACAAACTGGCAATGTCACTACAATGATATCAGATAAGAATATGAGTAACTGTCATTTCGTTTTGCAATCATATAATACGGGAGCTACTATGTTACAACGTGTCAATTTATCAGACAAGTGGGACTCGAATTCTTGGCCATACTCCCAAGCCATATTGAGTGCAAGTATGAGCATTGGTGTATCCATCCAATTGAGAGGAATTAGCAATATCGGACACATTCGCGCTCAGAAAAAATTAAGTAAGTTTCAGTATACTAACACCGACTACGATACACATTTTGTATACAGGTTCGACTAAACACTATATCAGTCTGGCTTTGGATGATGATATGCGAGAACTCGAAGTACTCATCGAGTTTAGTGCACTCGGCAATCACAGCAATCATACAAATTACTGGTGTGATGACATCAAGCTCTTTATTATCTATGGCACATATCTGGAATTTTTACGAGGTAAGTGTGTAGCGAGACATTGTCTAAGGAGAACTCAACATCTGCAGGTGTAAGACTGTTGAGTATTTCAATTTAGATTGTTTCACAGATGAGAAAAGATTCTTTGTATCGCGAAGAATTCACTCCATACTTCCTTTGAGACACTTTTTAAGTGGACAATACCATTCCTAGATCTTTACGTTCTATCTCCATAATCGTTACTCAGTTGGAATTTTTATGGAGCACTATTTTCTGTGAATGTTGAATTATATAGCGTGAAATACGAACCTCGAACGACCAATCTACCTCATAGACTGTAATAGACATAGTGTTATGACATTCTAATTGTACCACAGACTATGATAGGTATTTCAAAATGCTCCTTCTTTGGCTCCATCACAGACTCTGAAAAAGTGCACCGAAAATCTTGTTTATAATGAACGCGGTGCCATCGGCTTTCATAGTTCAATCATGTAGGGAATAAGCTGAAAGCTTGTTTTATTCAGAATGGGATGTTTGCTGAACTAAAGGCTATCAAAACATATATACTATTTAATATCCTGTTTACCATCCTATGAAAGTCGTTAGTAAAAGGCTACTTTTTGGCGAGTTTCATTGTTGCAACATGTGTTTAGCTCTAAAGGTATGTATTAAGAATACTTCAAATCTTATGAAACTCTCGGTTTAGCAATAAAAATCAGTTTTTAATCGCTTTTTCTAGACATGAGATTGCGAAGACGATGGGAATTTATTGCATTCATATCATAAATACAGAAGTTTTCGTCCTACAATCTGTAGAGTCAATTGAGGTAATCCAGATCGTTCGATCGAAATTTCGTTTTGTCTTGCCTATTTCTGAGTCTTTTATTGCTGAAACGGTATGGGGTATGGATGTGGATAATCTTTTCATCTATCCCAACACCCACACCCTCCTCCAATTTTTTAGGAATCGCCGAAGTCTACCGATCACTTATATGTATTATATGAACATACCAGATGTGAAAATTGATATTTGTAGACTTCTGTGATTTCTTAGCAGAATGACAAGTCAATTTTTAACAAATCATACAAAATAGGATATTCGTAAAGATGTACGACTATAGCACATGTATTGTTGTTTTTTTTTGCTTTCATGTTTCTAATACTTGTGCCATCTTAATAATTTTCAAGATGCTTTTTTTCTTTTATCCTTATCACATCAAGAATCTATTACTGATTTACTTGAGGTTTCAACTTTTCTTAGACCTATTGAAATTATTATTGTTTTCATTTTGGTATGAATAAGCATTTTTAAGTTGTGAACATTAGAGTCAGGCATCTTAACTCTGTCGGGAAAAACAAGGCTGTTAGCGTTTCATGTATAATTCGAGTTATGTACATATCATAGGAAAATAATTTTTTCCTTTCTGGAAAAGAGCAAACATTTCTCCATCGGCTGATATTAAATTAAATAATAAAAAATCAACTAATCACTCAGAAGAAACATGACAACAGAAAGAGGTTAAATTTAATTCAATTATCACAACTATTCTCTTGAATGTTTTCGTGTGTTGATTGGTCTTCTTAATTAGCTAGTAGCTTTTTCTCGTTCTAATCGTGCAATTGATGAAGAAAATAATTCTCTCAACTTAATATCGATAAATTTCGACGTATAGCTAAATAATAACTGATTATTTTATTTTTAATTTAACGGCATCCTACGTTGTACAATGTGAGACGTTGATAGAATCTAGTATTTGCTAATGATGGTTTTTCTCGAATGCAAAAAAAGAAATCGCAATAGGAATTCTGAAAGCATTAAGACAACGGAAATGAGAAACAGTAATCGAAAAAAGTCAATCTTGCGGAATACTACCTAAGACACAAAACATAATAAAAAAAGCATATTTTGTTGCAAATACAGCTAAACGATAGGATACCCACATACTACTGTTCCATGAAACTGAATCGAATTAATTAAGAGGAAACCCACCTCCGAAAGTCAATTTTTGAAAAAACACATATCCTAGTAGCCCTGAGTGTCCTCTTTCGGAATATGTATAAATTATATAATAATGGAACATATTTTGCCAAATTCTGGGGCGTCTATTGGAAGTCATAGTGGAAAATCAACTGTTGTGTTGATTTTTTTTCCTTAGTTACCGGTAATTAATATCGTTCCATCTTCTTTATCAGCAGTATAAAACCATCAACATATCGAGTAATCATGCTCTAACTGTTGCAGTCAGAGAAGGAAGCTTCAAAATTAGGTTATTATTCGAAAAGGTGGCGCTACAGTAAACTTGGATTTAGAAATTAGCTTAATTTTTTCTTGAAAATATCATCAATTGCAAGACCTTTTTACACACTTTCCAATGATATATAACATGCTCCAATTTTCTACACAGGAACATCATCAACTACTTCGCAATGTTGTTATTCGTTTTTCTCAGCTTCACTTTTTTATCATTTACTGATCACTGAGGAACATTTTTCCAGTCCACTGTTTGATGTACGCTGCTGATATTTTTTTTATTCAAAAGATGAGACTTTTTTCTAGAAATTATATTCGGATAGCCCGTGGAATTCTCCACAACTCTCTATATATAAGTTTTGAATTGCGTTTGTTTCCTGCAAAGAAATTCAAGAATACTAAAGGTATCCTTATTGCCAGATTCCCCAAAAATTTACATCTCATTGATTTTTTCAAATTTATGTCAATAGATAAACAATTTATTACAAAACTAAGTATATATTCTTCTTGAATTTATTTCCAGGAAACAAATACAATTCAAAACTTATACATAGAGAGTTGCAGAGAATTCCACGGGCTATCCGAATATATAATTACTTTTCTCAAAATGTCAATTTATAGTAACAATATATCGAAAATACCGAGTCTAACTATTTTTTTCCAGGGGGATATATAGTAGAGGATATATAGAAAAATATTTTATTTTTCATCTCCTAATAGTCTTAGAAAAACTTCGATATCGATATTATTTTTGTTGAAATATTTTGTGAAGAAAAACGTTCTCTATTATGTGAAAATTTCTGAGATATATCTGTACTTTGACTAATCTATTATAGAAAGCATTTATTTTTGAAGTCAAATATGATTTTACCATTTCATTAATAGAAAACATTGACTTGCGCAGGACAATTTTGTGTATTTTGTACATTTCTTTATAACTGTTACAGTCCAGGCTTCGTAGTCATCCTATATTTCCTATAAATCCTATAAATTTGAGAATCGTCCTATAATGTCCTCTATTTCAGCCATTTTCCTATATTTCCTATATTCTCCAAAAAAGTTTAGATTGATGCTTAAAATGCTTTAAATTTTGTCGGGAAAAGAAAAACATGCCCATTCACATATAGTAGGTTCCGTCAACAGTAATGGACATAAGATCTATTGCGATCCTATCGATATTTTTCATCCGAGAATCATATTTATAACCACAATTCATTCATTCTTTTGAAACTGTTTATGAAGATGATCTGTGTATTAAAGAGTTCACATGAATCTTCGTATAGTATTGTACTCTCAACCACTGCTGACTAATCTGGTATTTCTTTTCCAGAATGAATCCCTTAGAAGGCATTACCATGTGCCACGATTGTCTTCAAAACAGCCATTGAGAATATATTCGTGTATATTGAAACTTCATATTTTGAGACTTGAAACCTATACAATGTTCTTCAAGGGATAACTAGTGGTTCAAAATGGAGAAACCACGACTGCTGCACTCTGAACTACGAATGAAGTACTGGTTCTTGTCGTTCTTCTCTGAAATGATTCCATTCATTGGATCATTAGTTCTGAAAAATGGAATTTCACAAGCTCTGTTCTTTTTCGAGATAGAACGAAAATGAGCGAATAAAGCAAATACTAATATACCGTGACTGCTGATGACCCCCATTATACCACTGAGAGTAAAATCAATACTAATCAAGAACACAGATGATTAAATAATTAAAATGTTATAATTTCTTTCAAAAAAAAACGATGCCATTGATAGAAATACAAATCATTAATAGCTCTTACTAAATCTTCTGTTGAAAACATCATTGTTTTCAATGATTGAATTTGCAATATTGATCACTGGACAAATGATCACACTTATATGAATTTGAAGAGATTATTTAGAACTACAGAGTGTCCGAAAAGTCATTTAACAAAAGTTTTTTCGTATATCTTTACTGTTTCATTTAACATTATCAACAAATTTTTTTTAAATTATAG